TTGCATCCATCTTGGGATTATGTGGAGGAGACTTGCAAAAATTTAATTTGGCAAGATATTTTGGTGAGTTTTGTTAACTCGTTAAATTATGTTAAGTTAAGTTAGATCCTAAACTTTGTTATCCTGATTTATTTTGTTGTTTTTGCAGTAATCACTTTGATATTGTTAACTCGAACAACTTAGGAGAAAAGTCATGTCATCTATTGCCAAAATGTGGAGGCAATTCAAGTCGACATTGACTTCAAAATGGATTTTTAATGACCAAGCCATTAGCAAAGGATTAACTCCTTGTCGACGTTATGGCATAGATGAGGAAACTTGGAAGCGGTTTGTCGGGAGTAGGACTGGTCCACAATGGGAGGTATGTTACTATTTAAAAACTTTGGTATGTTTCCATATTGTCTTATTAATTTAGCACATTGTAATATGATATTATGTTGCAGGAGAAGCGAATAAAAGGAAAGGAGATTCGGAGGCTGAATGTGGCCCCCACCTGTCTGTCTCGTGGGGGTATGATTTGTTGACGCAACGCATGATGAAGGAGAAGGCTAAACTCCGAGAAGCTGAGTTAGCCTCTTCCGGTGTAAGCCAGGAAGAAATTTCCCCACCATCTCCTCCAAAACGTCATCAAAAATGGAAGAGGGCTCGGCAAAAGGCCTCCGGTGAAATGACATCGAGGAGGCCCGCTTGATTGCCGAGCGGATTGTAAGTCAAATTAGTTTCTTTCAACCTCATTAACCATGCTTTGTCATTCATCAATTTTTTTTTACAATATATAATGCTCAATTGTAGGATTCTTTAGAGGAGCAAGTATACACGAGGAACATTCGTTCCCCGTGGTCGTGAAGATATATTAACTATCGCTATTGGACGCCCGAACACCCGGGCGTGTTCGTGCCGTTGGAGCTGGTGTGGGTATTCGAGCATATTTTGGAGCTCCATCATCGGACCATACCCACACCACATCATTGAGCCGGCAGGAGATGGCCAGATTGGAGGAGAGTCTAACAGCGAAGCCGAGACCGACGATGGTTGAAGAGCCGACAGCGACGCCGACACCGGCCATTACCGCACGAGTTCGGGAGGAGATGATGCGTGTATTTGGTTCAAGTCTAGCATCCATAGGTGTCACACAGCCTACCCACCCACCTATGGATGTTCCTCCTCCATCTCGCCGCACGAGTTAGCACTAAGGGTAGTTGTGCTTGAGCCAAATACTGCGATCAAGAGCTTCTCGCTACTAATCGGGAGGTTGTTGTTGTTGTTGCGTACACCGACCACTCGGGTATGTGTGGATGATATCTTAATGACAAAAATTCATGTGCATATTAAATAATTAATGTCTTATTTTTGTGTAATTAGGTCGAGTGTGAATTTTATGTTGATGAGGATGGATCCGAACCACGATTGGTGGCGGTTGGTTCAATTGAAGAGGGGGCCTCTACAATTCATAGTGTGCCTTTAGCACCTAACTTGGCCAAAGTGGTCATTGAAGAGGTTCGAGATGCTTATGCTCTTGTACGTGTGCCCACGTGACGAGGTGATGACAAGTGGGACAGGCCCTCCGGACCTTCATTGCATGGCCTAGACATCTAATCGAGCCTATTTTGAAAAAGGTTTGCATATACTTTCCGTTAATTATCATATGTAGTCCGGTACTATTTTTTATTATTTCTCAAGTCAATGTTATTTTATGTAGGATGTTCGAAGCCACCCCAGTTGCCTAAACTGGTTCCTACTTCCCATACTAGTAAAGGTAAGGAAGTAGATGTCCCGAAAATCCAATTTTTCAACTACTATCTCGTTGTCCCACAGCTTGTATATTCAATCTTTTCAAGTGAAGTGGGATGTTGATAAGTTAGGGGTAGACAATAAGAACTTTCCCCTTTACATTGACCACACCGATGCTATGGAGATAGCAGATTGGCAATCGATGTCTAAACATAGCAGTGTTACAATTTTGGACAATGTAAGTATTTATTTTTATTTACTAATTATGTTATTTGAAGTTATCGTCATATTTAATGTACATTGAACTGGCTACTTTAGGATGATGAATGAATTGTCTGAGGAACAACGCACCCAAGATGTGTATGGATTTTTTGAGCCCCAATCCATACAAAAATCGAGAAACAAGAGAGAAGAAGTTCAAATATACATCCAAAATTGGATGATGAAGTCAAGGAAGAAAGTTTACTTGGGTGCTTACCACCATCAGTAAGTATTTAAGCGTATGAAATTATTCGCATTAAATTTTATAGTGTATTGTATTATCCTAACTTTTTGTAATGTAAGCGTAAATCATTGGCGGTTGTTGGTTGTTTGCCCAAAGCGTAATGTTGTGGCTTGGTTCCGCTCACTAGGCAAGAAACCTGATGCAGATCTTAAAAACATTGTAAAAAAGTACACATTCTTATAATAATTTAAACAATTATTAATTGTTTTGTTACTTAATTGTTTCATTATATCTTGTATTGCACAGATGCATTTAAGGTTTGCAATACAATTGATGGAGTACACACAAGCAAAAGCACGACTCAGATTGGATTTTTGTTAATGTAAGTCATTTTATATTTATGTATTATATCATTCATTTTATATGTCAAATTAATATATTATTTTTTGTAGTGTAATAGGCAACCAGGATCTTATGAGTGCGGATATTATGTTATGCACTCGGATGTGGCTGATTGTTGTTAGCAAGATTGAGGATACATGGAATCAGGTTTGCTTAAATTTAGTATTCAATAAAAGACCCGAGTATTGTGTCATTGGATACTCGTTAAATTATCTTTTTCTTGTAATGTGATATTTTCAGACAGGGAAGCATTGCCCATAGAGACCATTGACGATATTAGAAACACATGGGCCGATAAGTTTGTTAAAGTTAGAAGTAGGCAAGTTTAGTTATTAATTTAGTACTTAGTTTAGTAGTTAGTTTAGTAGTTAGTTTAGTAGTTACTTTAGTTACTTTACTAGTTAGTTTATTAGTTAGATTAGTAGTTAGTGTATTTGGTAGATAAGTAGTTGGATACACTATAATTTTGGATACAATTTTATTTTTGGATGCACATTCAATTGTTTATATCTTGTACATTGTCTGCCTGGGTTGTATTCAAATTTGCGGGTATGTATATATACAAACATTGGGTACCCCGTATAAACAAAGCGTCCATTTAAAAAAAAATAGACTTTCTACGCTCGGTTCATACCATAACCGACGTAGTAACACGTACTCGCTTGAGCGACGATTGTACTCGCTTGAGCGACGAAAGCTTCAAACAAAGGGGACTCTCGGGTTCCATCTCGCTTGAGCGACGAGTGTACTCACTTAAGCGACGAAAGCTTCAAACAAAGGGGACTCTCGGGTTCCATCTCGCTTGAGCGACGAGTGTACTCGCTAAGCGACGAAAGCTTCAAACAATGGGGACTCTCGGGTTCCATCTCGCTTGAGCGACGAGTGTACTCGCTTAAGCGACGAAAGCTTCAAACAAAGGGGACTCTCGGGTTCCATTTTGCTTGAGCGACGAGTGTACTCGCTTGAGCGACGAGTATACACTTTCAACGTCGGGTATGAATAACCGACGTTGAAACCCTAAACTTTCAACGTCGGTTATCTATACCCGACGTTGAAAGTGTATACTTTCAACGTCGCCTGATACAACGTCGGTTGTATAACCGACGTTGAAAGCCTTATATAACCGACGTTGAAAGGCATATCTGTAGCAGTGGTGGGGTTGATGGTAGAGTCTCGTTCCATTCATACCCCTTAATTCTTGACTTGAGGGGTTATGTTCCATACACTCATGAGTCTCATATAACTTAGAAATCGAGATCAAGAGTAGTTTACATACACTCTCCTTTCTTAACCAATTGAGACACATTTTAAGGACAAAAACATAACAAACTATAATTCCAAAACCGACAATACCTCAAATATAAAAATTAATTTTAACGATATTATCTCAAGCAAGTTCAACTTTATTTTCACTAGAAAATAATTCATTGTCTTAATTTTTTTTAATGGTATTGATTCATTTTATGTATAATAATATATTTTTATATTAATTATTTGTACTTATTTTACTGGAAAATGTAAAATAACATTTTATATATCTTATCAAAGAATAGAATTTAAAGTGTACTTGCTTAAACAAAATTACAAAAATAAAGTACATTTAAATGTTTTTATTATTTTTATAATTATAACAATGTCAACCAATAGGTTAAAGAGATTACTTTTAGGTAGAAAAGTCATAAACATGTTTTTTTATATGTAAAATAAACAAGTTAATAATAAAAATAATTTATAATTTAAATAATAAATAATAAAATAATAAATTATTATTATTAGAGATGTAACACGATTACTATTTTTTAATATAATTGCCAAGTAACATATAGATAAGTAATTCATGAAATATCTTATTTATATAATACTGTATAAAGTAATTGTACTATTTTTTTGTTACTTGAGTTTAATTTCACGGTTTATAAAAAATTATGTATATAATAAATTGCTATTTTTTTAAACGTGCTTAAAGTACTGATATACGGTCTCCAAGTGACTCATCTAAACTTTCTTAATTAAAATACAAGTATTTTTATAAACGTTTATTAATTTATGTTTTAAATTGTGGCCTAATTCCTCCCCTTAAATTTTAAGAAATTATAGAAGTTATTACAATTCTTAGTCTTGGAATTTTGAATCTCTAAATGGTTTTCCCAGGAGTCCAATAAAAAAATTTCACACCCATAATCCATACATATTTTAAATGCCAAATTGAAAAAGAAAAATTTGTAATGGATTATGGACATGAGACATTTCTCGTTTCCATAAAAATGCCAAACGCCACAGGATATTTTCCAGAAAGAACTCTTCAATTCTAGACCTTATTCCTGAGTGGTAGCACAACACATTCACCATTATCAATATCACTCCTGAACTGAAGATTGAAACACTGCTCAAATCACTGCAATATTTTATAAATCAGAGTAATATGTGGCATTCTCAGTGTCACCACCTTCTCTTCCCACCCCCACTTAGACCCACACTCACGCACCATAAACCCCCTCTCTCCCTTCTTCCACCCCTTCATCACAAACCCACCATTCTCCACTCTGTTTCAGTTTCAGCCATTCCTCCATGGCTCGCGCAACTGGCTGATGCAGCAGACATTGACACAGGGGGACCCGTTGAACTCCCCTTCTCTTCCACCCCTTCCATTTTCGCCACCACCGACGACCCTTCTCCTATTCAAGTCGCTTCCAGTATTCTCCTCACCGGCGCCATCTCCGTCTTCCTCTTTCGCGCCCTCCGCCGCAGAGCTCAACGTGTCAAACAATCCGTAAGTGCACTATTCTCTCTTGTTGTTTCTTTTTCATTCGATATTTCTGGGTAAGAAAAATTGTATTTTTTTAAGGTTAATTTGTTTTATATAACTGAGGGTTGTCGCTTGAGTTTCAATTCTTAGGAGCATGTGCCATGTTTCTATTTGGCTCCCCTTAAAAGACGTTAAAATGTCAATTTGACTACTTAAAAAGTAGTTATTATAATTTATGATCATATGACAATGGAAATGTGCGTTTCAATTAAATTCTAGATGTTGGAGATCTTAACTAAATGGCCAAAATTGTGTATATCAACAATATTTAATATATAATGGGAGTTGTGTAAGTTTTTGGGATTGTGTTAGTCAAAGATCAGATTCTTAGATAGATCGAATATTTCTGATTCGTTGTTATTGGGTCTATCTGACCAGTTTTACAAATTCCACGTTCAAGAAATGTCAGTTTGGGTGTGTTAGAGATTTTATATTGACTGGTGATATGGTTAAAATAATGTATAAAAGTGATGAATAACGTTTTAATCTATGAGTTAGTTTTTGAGTTGATTTAGGCTCAAGCCCAAATTCTAATGCTTGAAAGAAAATTATCTTTTAACAGGTTATTTTATTTTGTATAATGGTCATTACTCTTCACATTTTCAATGTCTGTAGGATAATGTGCAAAGTTATGATTTTCTTTATAAATTATTTGGTGCAAAGTGATTTCAAAGAATGGATTTTTAGATTTAATAAACGAAATTGGATGCGATGGGCTGTTTTTGTTGTTATGCTGATCACGTTGAGTTTTGGAGTGATGCTACTTATTTGTGCTGCTATGTTGCTATCCGTGTGTACTCGTTGAAATTGGTTTTGTGATTATAGCAATTCAGGTCTTCAGGAGTGAAATCAATCAAGGAAGAAGCATTGGATAGCTTGAAAGCCTTTAGGTCAGCTTCTGTAGAGGCTAAGGGTCCACCTTCAGCTGTTCAGACATTGCTTGGGGGAATAGCTGCGGGAGTCATTGCTCTTATTCTCTATAAGTTTGCAACTACCATAGAGGCAGGTCTAAACCGACAAGCAATTTCTGATAACTACTCTGTATGTCTCCTGTCTCTCTATCTCTTTTTCTTGTATTTTAGGGAAGAATAACTCATTTCCTACTATGATACTATCTCATATTGAAGATATCAGGTATTTATACACAGATTTGTAAGCTAATCTAGGAATAAAATAATAGCCTATTCTAATATAGAATCTCTATAATTTCAAGATATGACCTGATTTGCCAAACCTGTACTAATAGAAGATAACTAAAAGATTTTCCTAAAATTACACTGTTTCTAACACTTTTGTTCTTCTTGTTCCACAGCATGTCAGTTGAAAATTTGGAATTAGATAAGACTGTTTCTTTTATTAGTTTAACCAAAGAGAAAAGGTCGAAGTTTGAACACTATAATACCTATATATTTATATTCGGAGTTATTTTTCCTTGTCTTTAAATATTTCAATTTTATACAAATTATGATTTAAGATTCAAATATTAGCTTTGCAATCACAATTTGAATCTTGATTTGATAACTTTGGATCTGATAGATAGGAATTGGAATCTCGTTTCTATTCTTAGTTATAATGATCGTATAATTGAATGGAAGTGTGCTTCATCTTTTGATACTTTTCTTGGTTACTAGGATTAAGTAATTATTCTGAACAAATTTCTCATTGGATGGCTTATCATTCTTCTTTACCAACAATTTTGAACGCTCCAATACACTTATTCAAATGATTGAAAGGTAAACATTTCAGTTGAAGAAACAAAGAGTTGCTTTGGTAACATGAATTCAACTTTCAGAGGGATATCTATGTACTTTGATTGATGTAACGTCCTTCAGGGGCTGAAGTCTTCAAATAACTGGTTGTGTTTCTTTCACCAATTTACAACACTTCAAAAATGTGTTGTGCTCTAATATTTGGTATAAGAATATGTTTATGTTAAGTCATTATTGCGAAGTTTGCAACATTGTTTATTCTTACATGGATATTTAATATTGATTCATATTGCTTCATTGTTATTCTGTATTATTGATGAACTTATTGAATATACCTAAAGTTATAGCTTTTCGGTGTATTGACAGTTTGGTTGAAGTTTTCAACATTGTTTATACTTTGCTTACATAGCTATTAAATGTTGATCTGTATTAATTCATGGTTATTTTGTATCATTGATGAGCCTATATTGAATACTTAACTGTGGTATTTGGAATATGCAGTTATACTGACGTTTAATAATCATTAGAGGTTAGTAAGGAATCAATTCCCAAGTAGAAACTAGAGATTGTGCAAAATATGCATGAATCTACTTCTAATGAGTCTTGGAACTGGATAATTCCACGTTCCCCTGTCAAACTCTGTTACCTGATTCTAAAATACATACTTAAATTTACTTGTGTATTTAATTTTCACAAATACACAATTAAGTACTTAGTGTAGATATTGTATGGGAAAAATTGCTAGAACTACGAATCTATTCTTTTATTTTAATACATTCCTGGACTGTGTAGAAGATTAATACTCTTCACTTGAGTTCCCATGGGGAAGCTGTTAAGTAAAAATATTACAATTACGTGATTTTTGGAAATGAAATTATCAGCTTTTGCAAGTATGCCTGTTGTTCTTCTCATCTTAAGTTGGCTATATCTCTTGGCACTCATCTATGTATAAGAGCATTTCACTCATTATCTATTTTAACTACTATTGATGATTGTGGTTATGGATTATGTTAAGTAAAGTAGTCCAATTTTGCATTATTCTGAAGCAAGTGCAATTTTTCTGTGTACACAATAAGCACTTCTTCACCTTGTGTCATATTCATATAATTGCTTTGTCGCAAATTAATGATAGAATTAAGACAAAAGCATTTTATTGAATTAGTAGAAAAAAATGAGAACAGAACAGATGTTCAAGTTATTGATACTCTGAAATTGTATGTTTTTCAGGTCCGCCAGATAACCATCACCATAAGGTAGCTTCAATCTCTTTTTCTAACTGGGGCCCTTCTGTTCTTTCAAAACACCTGACTCACAATCACATGGCAATTTTTTACAGGACAATAGTGAATGGCTTGACATATCTTGCAACATTTGTTTTTGGCCTAAATTCCCTGGGTTTATTCCTATATTCTGGCCAGCTTGCCATCAAATCCATTATGGGAGGAGATTCAACTGAAAAGGAAACTGAAAGTAAAATTACTGAACTGTCAAATTCATCCAAGTTATCCATTGAGAGTACCCCTGATAACACTGAATTGAGCGGCAGGAAGGAAGAACAAAGTTCAAATGATGCACAATAGTTATTAGGTGTAAATACAGTGAAGTAAAATGGGGGTCAACAAATCTTATCCACTTGTAGAAGTAATATATATCCTTTCACTTTTGAGAGTAATGGGGTGGCAAGTGATCTTCAATGCAATTTCTAGTTTAATGTTGGATTTTTTGAAAGGTTTATGGAAGCTTTATTCTTCTGCCTTCTCCTTTGCCCTTTACATTTGCAAAAAATTTCAGTTTCGTTTTGATAAGAAGCTGAGAACTTCTGCGTTTACATTTTTGCGGCCTTCACCAAAAGGTTAAGCTTTATTATCAACTATAGCCACTACTGGTGTTTGCTCGTGCTCCTGCGAATGTATAATAGTTCACTCTGCTTTGTTGCCGATTCTCCTTGCTTTCAAGTAACACAAATGCTTCTAATTGGAACCTTTGCAGAGCATACACATGAATTGTGTCTGGATCTAAGGCATGTCTTGACCCCAAGTAGCATGCATGGTATCTTAATTAAACTAAGAACTCCAATCTGACACTATTCAATCGTGCCTTGAACCTGTAATGAACTTGGAAGATCAGCTTGGAGTACAACTAGTTAGAGATGCTTCAGTTTGTGACATTCATAATCGTGCACAAGAATAAAAATGACTCAAAATTTTGAATGGTGACTATCAAATGGATAATGTTTGGTGTAGGTCATCCTAAGGGAGGTCAAATTAAATGGAAACAAATTGTGAAAGTTGTGCAAATGTGAGTAATTTTTATATGGGTTTGGTATGTTCTCAGAGACAACTCTGCTGCATGTTAGTAGCCCAACCCACATTAACATAAATATCTCACAGTTACTTGAAAAAACAAGAAACTGAGTTTTATTTATTTATTTGCAAATTCATGTGAGCTTGCTATTAGGATTAGCAGTGGATCCAACTTGAAGTTTAAGGGGGCAATTGCCTACTAACGATTTTTTTTTTCAATATTAATATATTTAATTATTTTGATTTCTCCATAAAATAATAAGTGTTTCCATAAAATATATTTTAAAAATAAATATAAAAAGTTAGAAGAGATAAAAAAAAAAAAGAATCAGTATTAATTTAGTCCATTTATTTTTTTCTTTCAATATGAAAATTATAGAAAAAGAGTAATTATAATTTATAAAGGTTTAAGTATTTTGGATTTTTTTTCATGACATTATGTATTTAAAAAACTTATATTGTAATTTTTTTCTATATAAATATTATAATTTTCTTATTCCCAATAAAAAGTATTTATGAATTTTCGTCGGTCTATAAAGGTATTATTCCATTTATTTATCTAGGAGTGTAGGATTTTAAAGGTTAGTCTAAAATTAGATATTTAAGAGAATTAATAGACAAGTTACACATTAAATTTGCTACTAGGATGGGTAGGTTACTTAGTATGATGGGATGCATAGAATTAGTAAATTATGTGATTGTTGACGCATTTAATTACATTCATCGATTCTATAATTGCCCTATGTCATCTCTTAACGAAGTTGAATGTTGGATCAGAAAATTTATTTGAACCAAAGACATTGATAAGAGGAAAGTTGTCATAGTGAAATGCAATAAAATTTGTACATCTAGAGAAGAAGGGGGATGGGGATTATCTCTTATTATAATGAAAATTAGTTTTCTATCCTTATCCTTAAGTTAGTATGGCATTATTTCATATGTACTAATACTTGGTCACATGGATATAAAAGCCTAAGATTATGAGAAAAAGAAAAGATTTAATTGGATAAATGACTAGAGGAAGAATTAGAAAGGTCCAAGAAGTTTTATAAGAGAAGGTGACTCTTTTATAGAAGGCTCAACAGTTAAAGACCCAAGTCACTAAGAATACTAAGTTGGTTAGATGTATAGTGGACTTGGAGAGTTAAAATAAAAATAATTTATTTTATTTTGGTGGATTTGGGATTTGAACTCAAGAGCATTAGTTTAATATTTGATTAGTTTTAATTCTTTTAGGTTTCTTTTTATTATAAACAAAGTCAAGCCGAAGAAAATCTTGAACCCTAAATTTTGTATTTATGATTGTTGAATTGGGAAAAAAAGGCAATAAATGATTTTTGTCAAAGTGGAAATATTTCTCTGTTAAGGTTTTTTCTTGTATCTTCGATCTTATCAAGAATTCGCTAATTCTTGTGACGATCATCCTTAACCTTATCAAACTTTGTTTGTGGCACCTTTCTTTATTCAGGTTTTCTTTATTTTGTTCTCAATTCTTAATTTTTTGTTATTAATTGATTCCAAACCTAAAACTTTTGCGTCAATTTTATTTAGAATCTTATTACTTGGGCTAAATTTTTGAAAGCTAGAATTTTGAAAGTGGGACATGCAGTTAGGAACTACAAGCCTTCTTCCATATGACTTGGGATTGTTAAACACTTTTATACACTTAAGGACAACTCCTCTTGGATTATTAGAAATGATAATCGTGTGCACTTCTGGACTGACCATTGGTGTGGTCCAAATGCTTTTGCAAATAGATTTAAAATCCTTGATTCCATTGCTTTAAATTTGAATGTTAAGGTAAAGTATGCTTGGTGTAACACCCTACCTTGTAAATCATCAATCAAAAGAATTAATAATTTTTAGCAGATTTTTTTAACCAATTTATAAAACCAATAATAATATTTTCCTCGTACATAATATTAATATATTAAACCAATGCATTAATCGTAAAAACTAAACTTTAACATGTAATTTTCAATAACTCATTCCTGCATTTAATCATTTTAGAAAGAACTAAAGGTAAACATTCATAATTACATATAGATAAAATATTAATTACAGTCCTTCAAAATATTGAAGGCAACATTGGGGATAACTTCCTACAGAACAACAAACTACTCAAAAGAGTGACTACTACCCAGTACCGTATAGGTCTATGTACCACAAAAGACTGCTTATAAAATTTGGATATGTCTATCCCAATTATGTTGCCATCATTGTGGCTCCGAGCTAATGAGCTTGAGTGTCATATACATTGGGTGTGGAATCTTTGCCATCTTCACTCCTTTTAAACAATGAACGATCAGGTCCAACAAGTGCTGCAAGTATAGAGGAAATAAAGAAAACAGAAAGACAATAGGGTGAGCAACAGTTCATACATCATCTTAAAATCAAACATTATAAGCATTCACAAGTCAACCAATTTCCAAATGATTGATGTTAATGATGCATGATCCTAATATGTTTTCTAAAATAATTATGCATGCGGGCCCGAATAATTTCTCAAATCAGTGTTGGGGGTAGCCAGGAGTTGACACTACTAGGCATGGAAAATCCACCCACGAGATTGTTGAGACCCACGCTCCAATATAAACCTAGTAGCTCACTGACTATTGATATACGATAAGAGCACAGTCAGGTACAGGAGAGTTTGTACTGTGGGATCCCCGACAGCAGGTAGCGAGCCTGGGTCTTTTGGGGCTTCCAACCACTACCCTTCTTATCCCCAAGTCCTCCCTCAGGGCCTCCCTATCGTATTCTCAGAGTCCATAGTCTCCTATTTCCCTAATTTGCACAAATCACCATTTTCAGATGAGTAATGTATGAGTTCCTAAGTAGATTTTCTTAGAAAGTCACATATTTCCAAAATTTTTGACAAAGTTTCCCTTGTAATACAAACTTCCCAAAAATTTCCAAAAACCTGTTACAATCAGAAAACTTCCTAATATAGTTCAAAAAAAAGTTCACAACCCATCATTCAATCTTTTCAATTTAATTTCAATAAAATTTCCCATGAAAAACCACCATGCATATAATTGCTCACTCAAGGACAATTCATATCTTAATAGAGTACCAAACATGTATTTACACCATCATACACATAAGCAATTCATTATCACTTTCAAAACCAAACATATAATGAAATCAAAATTATCAATCATAACAAATTTAGACAACTTCAACAAATAATGTTAAACAAGTTTATGATGTAATCCTTACTATATAGCCCACCCCTTACCTGATACGTCCACACTTATTCATTTCAAAACTTGATGTTGTTTTCTAGCAAAATCTATATACGTAATAAAATGCTAGTTAGAATCTTATATTTCTATGGTTCTATCTCATGAGAATTTAAATTCACTTTGTGTTGCTAATCTATTTCTAAAAATATTTTAAGCTCACATTCAGCTTACAATTAACCTAGAAAATTATTATATTTTGTATACACTTAGAGTAGGAAGAATCCTAACAGCAAACATGGACAAGGTTCAGTATTTTGGAAATTTCTAGAGTTATATAAGCTATTTTGGCATGAAGTCTGAGCCAAAATTTCAATAACTTAATTATCTACAACATTGATGAAGGGAATAAATTTAAATACCCTATATAATAAATGCATTTTTCAGTTTACAGTGGTTGTTTTCAATAGAGCTCAACTCAAATAACACTCTAGGCCTTGGTAATTTGACTATAACTCATACTACACATAAGCTATTGACATGAAACCAATTTCTAAATTTTGGGAATATAATTTCCTACAACTTTTATGAAGGAATCAAGTCTTAATTTCACACATATCAATCCCAGTAATTCAAAAGCTAAGGCTGTTGAAACAGGGCAACCTCTTAACGTCACAACTAGAACACTTGACAGTAAAATGGGCATAACTAACAATAACCTGCGAATTTGGGTTCTTAAGATTTTTGGCTCAACCACTTCTAATCTTCAATTCTAAGCATCATTCTAGTGTCCTGTGTGTAAAACTACAACAACAAAATCATGATAACACTCTTCCCACTCCCATTCAAGGTCATCCAAGTGAGGAGAAGAATTGAAAATGTACCATTTTGAAAAATAAAAATGTAGAAGTGTAGAGAAGATTGAGAGAAACAAACTTACATGTTTGAGCTCCTCAAGAAAATCAATATTTCTTCCTCAAAATCAAACTTGAAAGTGAGGAGAGTTTGAGAGAGAGAGAGAGAAGTGAGCCTACGGGAACTTGCTTGTGGAAAATGTGTTCCTTTTCCACATTTCACTCTTTTAAAAGTCAACATTTAATTTATTTTCTAATTAAATTATTTTCTTACCAATTAATTAAAAATGCTGTAAAATAAAATTTTGAAATTTATCAAATTTCATTGTAAAAATTATCCAAAATGGGTTAAGAGCACTAGGTCAGCCCAATGGACATGCATCAGTATTTTAAGTCTCATAAATTCACTAGACCTCGGAAAATAGTGAAAACGGTGGCGTTTT